TCCCAGTCCCTGTCCCTGCCTCTCCAGCCTGCTCGGGCCACCCAGAGCTTGGGTGCTGGCTGCTTTCCCTGCTGGTTTGCTGCAGTTTTAGGTATGGGGACGATGAGGGCTTATTACCTGGGCAAATCACTGAAGGGCAGGGGGACCAGGCGCATCGGTAGGATCCCTTCTGTGCAGTCTGGCCCCACTTTGGATGTCAGCTAACTGGGACTGCAAATGCTGTTTGTTCATTGCCAAAAGACACAGTATGGTTTGGGACAATGGAGGCAAAGTAATTAAAAGTGGGGATAGGAGAGAACCGACAGTGAAGTTCTTCCTTTTGCATTTTCACCCTCTGCAAGGGTGGATATCAGAGAAAAATGCTGATCTGCTGCTCAGTTTGGGCAAAGGTGAAGCAATTGTTGTTTCTGCTCGTGTGACCCTCAGGCAAAGAGCGGGAGTCGCAGGGAAGGCACAGCCTCTCTCCCACGGACAGTGCATAGCACCGGGGAGCGACCTCGGTTTTATCTGCCCTTCGCATCAGGGCTCCCGACATCGCCCTGCGCTCCTCCTGCACCCGCACAGCCGCCTGACCCTCACCCGCAGCCCTTTTGTAACACCCTGCACCATGGCAGGCCCTTAACCCGTCCCTGCCCCTGGGAACGCCATCTTGGCGGTGCTTCCTCTTCGTGGTAGGTGCCTGTGGGTGTTGGAGCAGGGCTTTGAGGTGGTCGGTTTCCCTAAGAGAAGCGGGAGTACTGTAGATGGGACAGACCCAGGGTGTCCCTGGGTTCCCTAAATTATTAGACAAAGAGGGAGCAACTGTGGCTGCGTGGTTTGGGCTGCTGAGGGTGCCTGGAGGGGGCTGGAAGTTTGGGGAGCTGGCGAGGGGTGAGGAAGGGAGCAGAGATGAGAGGAGCGAGGGGTGGGGAACATGAAGGAAAGACTGAAATATTATGGAGGTGTCGGGGGGGGGAAAGGAGGTTCAGATCCCGGGATTTGGGGTTTTTTAACCCACTAGGCAAAGCATGAGCAGTGTAGG